TGGAACTTTAGTAGGTTTTGTTATTAGCTACAACTTTTGTTAACAACTCAAATCCGTATCTCTTATGTATGACGAACCAGAGCGAACAGAAGCCACTACCGTTTTTCAGTGAATGTATTTTACATTCACTGAAAAACAGTAACAAGTTCTGCCCGCTCTAATTCGTGATGCATAAGAGATACAAATTTGAGTTATGGCGAAGACATCATATCAAGAAGACTGGCAACTTTGCCAGAATCCAAGCGACTGATACAATTGCGCTGCGCTTGAGTGAAGGTGGAAGCAACGCATAGCAAAATGAGCAACTACACAAACCTTTCTTCTGAGGATGTAATCTTTGCTATCAAATTCGTTCGAAGCATTTACCTTTGAGCGGCAGATGATGCGATTGTACCTGTCTCATAGCGTTCGTATGAGAAAATGGAAGAGTTGCCAGTCTTCTTGATTTGTTGTCTTCGGTTATGGGCAAAAGTTGTAGCTAATAACAAAACCTATTAAAGCTCTATATATCATTTTGCGGAATGCTGTTGATGATGAAAGTTAGAGTCAAATGAATGTAAATGATTGCATGAAATGAATGTAAATGATTTTCCATGCCTGAATGGAACTTCATTGATTTTCTCTAATCAACTTAGCTGAATTTTCGAAATTTTTTAGATCTTGAAATTTCCATGAACGGTCAACTTCAGATTGGTGTATATCTGTCAAAAATGCAAAAAAAAACCTGAAATGCTACATTTCAGTGCCAACATTTCAAAGGGACGTAATTGCTTTTGTAAACAATGACTTTAGCCGTCAATTTCTCGCCCTTTGATATGTTGGCACTGATTTGGAAGTTGAGTGTACATACAATGCACAATGGTCTCAAAGCCGTATTTAGGAAGACAAAAATGTTTGCGCTAAAACCGTTGATTTTCGGCATATGGTGTCTTCCGGAAAGTTTCTTCATATTTTTTGGCCAATTTTTTTTTGTTAGTAAAATTAGGGTGGTCCATAAAGTTGGTAAATTGAAAATGTGAACTTTTTTATTATGTGAGATAGATCAGTGCAATGTTCTAGAAAGTTGTAGAACAATCAATTTGCGGCACCTTTGCTGAAGCCATCAAACTTCCATCTCTTATGGTTCATGAGTTATGAATTTTTTAAACAAGCAAGTTAGGGTGGCCTCTGAAAAATTGTTTTTCTATGAATATCTTTTCATACGTTCATTTCTCGTAAAACAAATGTTCTAGATACTTTTAGATCTTTCAAATGGAATTAAAATCTTGAAAATCGGTTTGATATTGACAATTGAAAAAGGCCAGTTTTTTAAAGAAAATCGCATTTAACTTTCCAATAAAAAAGATAGCAACTTGGTTAATTCAGCAAAAATATTTGCCATTGAAAGTTCTTAAAGTAATATGACAAGTGGTCCCGGGGGAATACGGGCAAGACGTCCAAGGAGGTTTTAGTGCAGTAAGAATCCCACACACTGTGTCACCCAGGCCAGTGAGAATGCCTATGACTAAACCAACAGCAGCGTTTGACAGTAGGCAGCATGTCCCAGGCTCAAATCGTTTATTTTGCTGTGCTGGGCCCGCTGTCACGGTATAACATGTTGCCTACGCGCCTGCTACTGGGTTGGTGTCACCACAACCGTGCGCCCGGTCAGCCAGCAAGCTAGCGGTGGCATGATGGCCTTTTTAAGGTTTCCTCCATAAAAAAAACACATGAACATACACACAAATACCTAGACATTTTCCGATGTCGTCAAACTGAGGCAAATGATTAATGGCGCTTGGCCCTGCGGCCTTCCGAAGCATACAAATGGTTCATTATATAAAAGGTTCAACCTTGATGCATTTTTAGGTCCATCCATGATTCATATTCATTGCTGAATAAAAACGTTCAACTACATCCTATTTTGAAAAAAAAAAAACAATATCCTTTTTTAGTATTATTAGAAAATAGAAAGGTAGACTTTTTTTACCAAACACACATTTTCATGGCCTTATGTTATATTCTTATAAAATACGGCATTCATTTAGACACAGTAAGGTTTTGAAAAAAAGTAATCGAAGAAGCTCCGAGAAAAATACCAAAGGAATCCTACTCTGCAGTTAATTAAAAAAAAAGAAGAATTAAAAATATTTTTTTACAATATTCCAAGCTATGTGTGACGCCCATGTCTGACACCATTTTCAAGCTTCCGGGTGGAGAAAAACCTTGGGAATGCTGTGAAAAACATCTCAATGTGGGTATTTTTGGAATCTTGATGACGTGTAGGGACCGGAAACCTATGTCTGACGCCTTTTTCAAATTCTATATGGCTTCCGGTTGGAGAAAAACTCGGAATTTTTGTAAAATATCCCACAATATTGGTATTTTTGGAGTCGGGGTGACGTGTAAGGACCGTAAATCGATGTCTGAGGCCTTTTTCAAATTCAATATAGCGACTTCCGGTTAGGGAAAAACTGCCAAATTACCCACAATATGGGTATTTTTTGAATCTTGGTGACGTGTAGGCACCGGAAATAGATGTCTGACACCATTTTAAATTCAATATGCCAGCTTCCGGTTGGATAAAAGCTGGGAAATACTGCCAAATTACCCATAATATGGGTATTTTTGGAGTCTTGATGACGTGTAGGAACCGGAAATCGATATACAAGGCCGTTTTGAAATTCAAGATGGCGGCTTCGGGCTAGAGAAAAACTTGAAAATTCTGTCAAATACCTCACAATATTGGTATTTTTAGAGTCGGGGTGACGTGTAAGGACCGGACATCGATGTCTGAGGCCATTTTAAAATTCGATATGGCGGCTTCCGGTTAGAGAAAAACCTGGAAATTCTGTCAAATTCCTCTCAATATGGGTATTTTTGGAATCATGGTAACGTGTAGAGACTTGAAACCCGTGTCTGACACCATTTTGAATTCTATATGGCGGCTTCCAGTTGGAGAAAAACTGGGAAATACTGTAAAATTATCCACAATATGGGTATTTTTGGAATCGTGGTGACGTGTAGGGACCAGAAACCTTGTCTGACGCCATTTTTAAATTCAATATGGTGACTTCCGGTTGGAGACAAACTGGGATATACTGCCAAATTAGCCACAATATGGGTATTTTTGGAATCTTGGTTACGTGTAGAGACCGGACATCGATGTCTGAGGCCGTTTTGAAATTCAATATGGCTGCTTCCGGTTGGAGAAAACTTGGAAATTCTGTCGAATCCCCTTACTATGGGTATTTTTGGAAACGGGGTGCCGTATATCGACCGGAAATCCAAGACCGGCGCCATTTTGATATCCAAGATGGCGGCTTCCGGTTAAATAAAAACTGGGATATTCTGTCAAATACACCGCCTTATGAGTATTTTAGGAATCTTGGTGACGTGTTGGGACCGGAAATCGATGTCTCACGCCTTTTTTGAAATTTCAGTTACAGAAAAATTTAAAAAATACTATCAAATACCCCTCAATATGGATATTTTTGCTTGTGGTGATGTGTAGAGACATTTTGAATTCAATATGGTGGTTTCTGTTCGAGAAAAACTTAAGAATTCTGTCCAATTGAGGGGTAAATATGGGTATTTTTGGAATCGGAGTGACGTGTAAGGACGGAAAACCCATCCGTATTTTTCTATTTTTCTGTATTCGGAAGCCACCAAATTGGATTTCAAAAAGGCGTCAGACATTGCTTTCCGGGCTCTACACGTCACCTCGATTCCAAAAATACCCATATTGTGGTGTATTTGACAGTGTTTCCATGTTTTTCTTCTACCGGAACCCACCATCATGGATTTCAACATAGCCTCAGACATGAATTTCCGGTCTCTACACATCAACACAATTCCAAAAATAATCATGTTGAAGGATATTTGACAGTATTTTTATATTTTTCTCTACCTGGAAACTGCCATTTGGATTTCAAAAAGGCGTCCGATATGGATTTACGAACTCTGCACGTCACCCCGATTCCAAAAATACCCATATTGTAGAGTATTTGACAGAATTTTCAGGGTTTTCTCCAACCGAAAGCTGCCATCTTGAATTTCAAAACGGACTCAGACATCGATTTCCGGTTCTCACACGTCTGTCCAACTCCAAAAATACCTATATAGTGGGGTATTTGACAGAATTTCCAAGTTTTATAGTTCACCAACCGGAAGCCGCCATTTTGGATGTCAGAAAGACATCAGACATAGTTTTCCGGTCCCTACACGTCACCCGGATTCCAAAAATACCCACATTGAGGGGTATTTAACAGAATTTACAAGTTTTTATCCAACCGGAAGCCACCATATTGAATTTCAAATAGGCGTCAGACATCTATTTCCGGTACAACACGTCACCCCAATTCCAAAAATACCCATATTGAGGGAAATTTGACAGAATTTTCAAGTTTTTCTCCAACCGGAAGCTACCATCTTGAATTTCAAAATGGCCTCAGACATCGATTTCCGAACCCTACACGTTACCAAGACTCCAAAAATACTCATACTGTGCGTAATTTGGCAGTAATTCCCAATTTTACTACAACCGGAAGCAGCCATATTGAAGTCAAAATAGCGTCAGACATCGATTTCCAGTCCCTAAACGTCACCCCAATTCTAAAAAAACCCATATTGAGGGGTATTAGACAGAATTTTCGAGTTTTTCTCCAACCGGAAGCCACCATCTTGAATTTCAAAATGGCTGAGAGTTCACCGGGTTCATCCCAAGTGACTTTTCTCACCTCACTCGCCAGCTGGATTCGGGTGACACGAGTGACTCGAGTCGTCTCACCTCATTCGCCACGCAGAATAACCCTGAGTGTAGTTTTCGAAGTTAAACAACCCAATTCGATCGGAAATCATAACTCGTATTTGTAGAAAAATTTCAAATAACATCATTCTGAAGCTTTTGCAAGATTCAAATCGGCCGAATTTTAGCAAAACTGTGAATGATTGATTATTATAAACAATTATGTAATGTTTTATGTGAATCGGAGAAGGTCACGTCAGATCGATTCGTCATTTGGCGTGGAACTGAAAACATCACGAGGAGCTTTCCAGGGAACAAGACATTTCGTGGCTTTTCCAGTAAAATCCTGTGCACTTCTAATTATTTTATTTGTATTTCCATCCCGAGACTTTCACGTAAAGTTTGAGGATTTTATGGAAGCTTATGCACAATTCTGAATTTGTATTGAACATTTGTTCATAATCATGGAATAAGGAAAAAGTGATCAGTGCAAAATTACTTGTAAATTTACTGAAATAACCTCCAAACGCTGCACTCAAAATATGAACAGAAAAAGAACTCTATAAATACGATTATTAATTAACTACACAGCAAAGAACATTAAAAGGTGCACCAAAAGATCAGTACGCTTGGACGGACGTGGAATTTCTAAGTAACCAAAATCAAAATAAAACAGCTACTTCCATTGTAACCTCGCACCCTAACTCAATAACCGCAAACCGCATTCCTATCAAACGATCCTAACCTCGCCGCCCTGCTTCCGGCTGCCTCACGGTGCCGGACTGGGCGGCATCATCGGTACAAACTCACGCCGAAAATCAACCGAATCCGTCTCCGTGGAAGACGTTTCGCTAGAGTATCGGTTTTCTTTTCCCGCTCCTACGGTACTACCGCCACCACCACTCCCAGTGCCACCAGGTGCCACCAGTCCCGAGCCGACCGAACCGCCAAAGAGCTGTTTCTGCCGCCACAGCATATCGTTGTGCTTAACAACGGCACCGTGGATCTTCTCCGGCCACTGAAATCCGGGTTGCGGTTGAGGTTTGATTGTGGTTGGTGGCGCAACCGCCACCACCGAACCGGGAATCTGCGCAGGCAGAGGGCCACTTACGACAGATGGTTGCTTTTGAGGTGGCTGCTGTTGTGGCGGCCCTTGTTGCTGGGCGGCGAAGTAGCTCTGGGTGGTTGGGCTCTTGCCGGTCAGCTTGGATACGTCAAACTCCGAGAACAGATACTCCCGTTCCAGGGTTTTGTTGGAGTAAGTCGTCGGAAGAGGATCGTTGGCGTACTTGGCCGGGGGTGGTGGAGGCGGAGCTGTTCGACCAAAATCGTAGATGTTGTCTTCGTCGTCGTTGTCGGCGTAGTCTGTGTAGTTGTATGGGTAGTTGTAGTACTGTCGATCGCTGTTGTAGTTATACTGGGGAGCGCTCTTGATGCTGGCGTTCGATCCGTACAGTTTGTCCTGACTACTGGCACTGTTACTGTTCGAACGCCGCTGCATGTACTGACGCCGTCGTCGGGAGTTTAGTTTTGATCGGATGTCACACTCGGACTGGGCGTGGTTCCGATCGAGTTCACTTTCGCTACTGGAAGACGAACTGTCGATCATACTGATCGGATTATAGCTAAGTCTACGTAGATTTCTGGCGCGAATACTTTTCGGCTTGTAGGTTATCACTTTTCGCGGAGCAGGTTTGGGTTGACTTTGCTGCTGCTGAATCGGCTTCGGTTTGCAGATGGTTAGCAGTTGAGCTTCGATCGAGGCGGGCGACTTCAGCTCGTAGTTTTCGGTAAACGATAACGATCGTTGACGATTCTGACACGTCCCGGTACTAACTACTGAACTAGGATCGTCAAACTTCCTTCCCTGCAGCGGGGTATTGTAAATCTGATACAACTGATTGATCGATTGATTGCTCGAGTTTGCAGTCTTTTTGACCGGAGACGAGGACAGCACTTGACTTTGCTGTTTCCTCGTCAAATCCGACAAGTATTCATTCTTCAAATTGTAGTAATCCGATCGATCCTTACACCGGGGGTCGATCGTCTGACGGAATTTGAAATCCCTTATGGGGATCCCTTTCGGCGAGCGGACACTACCTCCACTGCCGTTCAGCTCGGAAAATAAATTCATCTCGTATTGCTTTTTCGTCGGTGGACTCTTCCCAGTTACCGATGAGCCACCACTTCCCCCACCCCCCTTTTCACTGAGAACGGAATTGATCTTGGTGCCACTTTCCAACGAAGATCCCCTCATCAGGGAACTCGACGGAGGACTTTTCCTGTAGGGAATACCACTGCCGTAACTTTCCCCAAACAACGTCTCCGCCGAGTCCGCCTTCTCCAGCTCCTGGTACGTCTGCAAAAAATCCAGGTTCAACGCGTTCAACGTCTTCTCGATGTCCATCAAATTTTCACCGATCAAGTCCCGTGTTCGCTTATCAAAATGACGACCATCCAGTGTCGCAGTCGATATGTCCAAATTGAACGGTTTGCTCAGCAGTTCCCGGCTCTTTTCGAAGCAGAAATCCGACGATTCCTTGTCGAAGAGCGGGATCCGGATGTCGTTGCTTCGGTAGCTTTCGATACCGGTTAGCGAGCGGTAGCGCTGTCGTCGTCGTTGTTACCAGAAAGCCAGATTTAATTTCCATTAAATAAAATTGGACAAACGATAGAGACAAAATGTACAGAACAAAATCGGTTGAAAATAGTGTGTGTAATGTGATTTCGAGCGTGTTCACGGCAAAATTGTATATATTTATTACGATCATTTCAGAGTGGGAGTAGTATACACAAAAAAGAACACAGTACAAAAAACAAGTTAGTAAAAAATTTCATTTTCTGTTTGGTGATTATTAAGAGATGATGGAGCGAGTATGCATAAGTGGTGGATTACAAATCGACGGCGTCGAATAGATAGTTGTTGAACTGTGATAGTTAGTCCATTGTCACACATAGTAGAGTGATGATGTGATGTTGAATAATGTAGTAAGTAAGGTGATGGTGACGGTGTGGAAAATTAAAACCAATGTTCAACACAGGTCACAAAACAGCAACAGAAAAAAAAACCGAAAGTAATCATGAGTATACCGAATGTTTATTTTTTTAGTTTGTTAGTGATGGGTTAGTGAAAAAATGTGGGATAATCAGAGACAGTGAAAAACAAATACGAAAGAAAAAACGAAGCAAATCAGGAAAAGGATACAGAAAACGAATGAGATAAAGTGTGAGATTTTTTTTTCAAGTTGAGTGGGAAGTGATTTTAGCGTACGTAAATTTTACGAAGAAAGGAGAACAAATATACCATTTGAATAATTCAAACTATTTGGTTAAAGAATAGGTTGTTTTTTTCGTAGTGAATAATTGACGATGACTAAAGAAAAGCTACTAGTGACGAAGAATGATTCGATGATATCGGTGATACACTACGGAAATGAATGACTAGCATGGCTCGGTGAATTAATGTTTGCTTAAATTACTAATCAAATTGGTGCAGCAATGAAATTGATCCGTTGGTTGCTCTTGGAAAATACCTACTCTGCTCTGAGGTACCGTTCCCAACATACCCACAGTCGAGGTTGCTTCGACTCATTTCCCTTTAAACATTTTGTTTTTTTTTTTAATTATAAAATTATTAGATGATATCATGATATTTCGTACATGTACGAAGCCAAACAACTTAAGAATTTCATAAGGCATGACTGATGAACATGGATAATTTTTGTTTCATAAGACAATTATGAATTCCATAAGCATATGAATAATTATCATACGCTACGAGCTTGTTCTTATGGTTCTTATACGCCTTTAGCCTATTCGATTTCACAAGCGTTGATAGACGTGAACGCAAATCACGGACTCCTGAACGCTCAAGGTTCGAGTCCAGTCTGCTTAATTTTATTGTTTCGACTAATTAAATGTTTCATAAGTCAAACTTATGATTTCCATAATAAATCCTTGTGGCGAAAAATCATACGTGGTTCTTATGAAAATCTTAAGTCTTTTTGCCTCAGTGTAAGTTACAGGAAGTGGTTGTAAAGTACAGTACGTGACAAAAGTGTATCACCCCACATTTTTTGTAGTCGGTTTGGCCCAAAATGCACACCAAACAGTGACTTTCTGGGGATGCATTGCCACTTGGTGGACCTCGTGTGGATTGGCCTTGTCCCAAATTCGACAATTCTGCTTGTTCACATACCCGTTCATCCAGAAATGGGCCTTGTCGCTGAAGAATATATTTCGGGTAAAATCGGGATCTGTTTGAAACTGCTCCAAAACCCAATCAGTGAACACACGGCGCTGTCTATGATGGTTGAGCTTGAGCTCCTGGGTCATTGGATCTTGAATGGGACTCAAGTCTCGACGCAGAATTCGCCAAGTTGAAGCCTGCGAGAGGCCCTGTTCTGTGTGTGCGGCGTGGAATCGACTGCCGCCGCTTCTCCTGCACGCTTTTGCGTACAGTTGCAATATTCTCGGCAGACCTTGCGTTCCGTTCACGCATTTGTATTTGTATTTATTGTATAAATCCATCTGACATCGTGGTCTTAATGAATAAAACTTAACTAAAAAAAAAAACTTTAACACGTTGTACAGAAAAAACAAAATCATTCTGGTCGATTCCGTAGGCGGTTTCGAAAGACGTTGGTAGAGATATTGAAGTCAAACAAGCTGTAATTGTCTTGGAGTCTTATCGAGACTTATCGAATCGATGGGATTGTTAGATCCGTACTGTGTTCGTCTCGTTGGCTGGTGCAATAGCTGTCTAGATCGCAGCACTCGTTGAGGGGCGTAGTTGTTGAGCTGACTCAGCAATGCAGGGCAGTCTATTTCGGAGCGTAAAATTTTGGCTCCTAAGATAGCTTGGCTGAACTTGCGTCTATCCAGTAGCGGTTCAATACCAAGCAGCGCACAGCGGTGCTCGTAGGGTGGTAGTCGTAATGAGTCGGTCCATGGCAAGCCTCGTAGAGCACATCTCACAAATTTCCGCTGCACTGATTCGATTCGTGAAATCCACACAGCATAGTACGGAGACCAGACGGCAGAAGCAAATTCAAGAATTGATCCAACTAGCGAGCAATACAGAGATCGCAAACACAGAGGGTCATCAAATTCGTTCGCTATCTTGAGAATAAATCCAAGTTGACGATTTGCTTTATCAACTATTTCCGAATAGTGCATTTTGAATGTGAGTTGATAATCCAGTACCACACCCAAGTCTTTAACATGATCAACCCGATTCAGTACAGTGCCATCGATAGTATAGTCATGTAGGATAGGATTTCTCGTTCTTCGAAAGGATATGATACAGCATTTGGACACACTGACTGCTAGATGATTCAGTGCACACCAACAACTAGCTGTTGTTGCAATTGACGGCAATCATTGGTGCTCCTAACAACCAGGTAGATTTTCAAAGCGTCTGCGTAGAACATTAGGCAGCAATTCAGAAGAACGTGGGACACATCATTGAAGAACAACGCGAATAACAGCGGCCCCAAGTTGCTCGGCTGATCCAATTTTCACGAACAATTGACGGCCAGTCAAATATGATCTCAGCCAACTACAAATTCTCGGAGATGCTCCTAGTCGCTCCAGTTTACCCTACAGAATATCGTGATTAACTGAGTCGAACGCAGCCTTTATGTCAGTGTATATGCTGTCGATTTGACCTCCTTGCTCCATTCCGCTGATGCAAAACGACGTGTATTCACACAGATTAGTGATGACTGAACGTTGCGGAAAAAATCCATGCTGAGATGTTGGAATGTACGTTTTACTGGCCTGGAACATAACATCATTGAGAATTATCTCAAAGCATTTGGATCCGGCAGGCAACGAAGTTATTCCACGATAGTTCGACACATCCACTTTACTGCCTTTCTTGTAGATAGGCTGCATGTATGACATCTTCCAAGCGATTGGAAACTGCTGGCTTCGAAGAGAGAGGCTGAATATAGCTTGAAGAGGTGTAATCAACATGCCACTACATTTGTTCAATATGCACGCAGGAATACCGTCCGGTCCAGGTGATACAGATGATTTCAGCTTCTTCAGTGCATTCTCCACCATCGTCTGATTAACATCGAAAATATCAATGTCGAATGCGTCCACGGGCAGAGACCTTGTCGCAGTTTCAACATCCGATGGAGACGCAGTTGATGCCTGAAAAACACTCGCAAATCATGCAGCAAATAGTTCGCATTTGGCTTCTGCGGTGGAGGCAGATTGATCTTCCATGCGCATGGTAGATGGAAGGCCGCTTTCATTTCGCTTAGTGTTTACAAAATTCCAGAACTGTTTAGGATTTCTTCGCACATTGTCCTGAGCACGTCTTACGTATCTGCCGTACAAGTAACGGTTATAGCTCCGATAGTTGCGACTAGCTCGTGCAAACGCCAGTTTGGTGATGCCATTTTTGCGTGCCGAGAAGCGTTTAAGCATCTTAGATCGAATACGTCGAAGGTACGGTAAGCGAGCACATCTACGTTGCTACACCGACAAACAGTAGACCAATCAACTTGAGAAAGCATAGAGTTGAGTGCGTCATAATCAACTTTACTAAAGTCACGATCATGTTCATCGACGTTCACAACAAATGGAAAGATTGCTGAACAATACACCGTGAAAACAAGAGCTGGATGATGAGGATCGATATCCACAACCGACTCCGGGGCCTCATCAACTGAACTGCATTGCGTATCATATTTCGTTGTCTCAACCCTCCAAAAGCAAGGCTGTCCAGAAGAATGCGGCAAGCTTGAGAAAAATTTGATGCAAGAGGATCAGCAAATGCGTAGACGTTGTTCACTGATTTCCAGACGATTCGAGGCTGATTGAAATCCCCGAAAAAGATGATCCCATCATTGCTACCCATCATTTCATTAATTTCCGAAACAATGTCAGCGTGAGATTGGATGCACTCGCAATCAGCGGACTTCAACACACACCAACGAAGATAGACCTTGTTTCGGATGAGATCTTTACCCATATGCTCTCCATGCTTGCACCCGAAGAGGTTTGCACTAAAGCTGCTTCGAGTTTGTTAGAAACAGCTATTAAAACACCTCCACCACGTGTCCTGGTACTGTTCAAAGCAGAACGATCGATTCGATAAACGCTGAATCCATCACCGAACAATTGACATGATTTAATTCGGTCGTCGAGCCATGTTTCCGTGAAAACAAACACATCATAACTGTTTTCCGAGGATGCAAGGGTGGTGGTTGAGCGTTCACCGAACCAGTTTCCTCGAATTTGTTCACCACATTGCGAATAGTCCTCACGGTAGGACGATTATTGCCACCGCTCGGAACGTTGCTAGCAAAGAACACTTACTTTGATAAAACATTTTTTTCATTTGCTGGACGATATAACTCTCCATGGTAATTTGGCAAGACATAGCTAATTTGACACTAGTAGCTTCAACAATATGGCCACTATGAACAATTTAAGATAGGAAATCCCTTTCGGAAAACCCTTTATATGCTTTTGATCTTATTAAAATCCATTCCGCATTTAAGCACGTTTGGCATAACGGACATGTGGCGTAACCGTTACGAATCGTTGAAGCACTAAGCATATTTCTAGGTATGAGTGTTGGCTAATTGT